TGTTGTGGAGAAAATCTTTGCTATGTTATGTACACTTCGGGTAAGAAGTTTAGTTTTTACGACATTTATCTTTTAAAAGAATTATAAATAACGATTTTTTTTATTTTTAATCACTTTAGGGTCTACAGGAAAACCAAAAGGCGTATTGGTCGAACATAAAAACGTTACAAGTTTATTGATGGACCCGAAATATGACCATTTTAGATACAAAGATAGAGGAATTAGGGCATTACAAGTTCTATCCATGGCTTTTGACGCGTCAATTTTGGGCTGGGCAATGGCGATTACCAATGGTTCAACTATTTGTTTTGCTAAAAATCCAAAATTATTAGTTGGAAATTACTTATTAGATATCATTAAATGTAATGAAATAGAAGCAATGATAGTTGTACCGACTATCTTGGCTACTATTTCACCCGATAAGTGTAGTCAAACTTTTAAATATCTTGAGGTTGGTGGTGAAGTTCTTCCAAATAATTTAGCTTACCTTTGGAAGAGTCGTCTTAAGAAATTTTTTAATTCTTATGGTCCTACTGAAGTAGGTGTTATGGCAACAAATTATGATATCATACCCGAAAATAGTCTTGTCACATTTGGATCTGCAGTTGGAACTCCACGTGATCACACTTCAATATATATCTGTGATCCAATAACGCAAGAATTATTGAGTGATAAAGGAGAAATATTGATTGGTGGTGTTGGATTAGCACGAGGATATTTAAATCGGGAAGATATTACTAAAGAGCGTTTTATATTTCATCCAAAATTACAAAAACGTTTGTATCGTACTGGTGATCAAGGATGTATTCTGGAAGATGGTAAAATTATTTATTTAGGAAGGTTTGATCGTCAAGTGAAGCTTCGTGGATTCAGAATTGAGCTTTCTGAAATCGAAGCAATAATTTTGAGTAAATGTCCAGAGATTTGTCATGCATCAGTTCAAGTTAATGAAGAAAAAGAGTCATTGGTCGCATTTGTCATGCCAAAAGATATAGACCATAAAGCAATTCGAAATAAATTGAGCAAGGCAATGGCAAAATTTCAAGTTCCGGATATTATTCCAGTTGCTAATTTGCCCTGCACACATAATGGAAAAACAGAT